AAGGAAAGAAAAAAATTCATCTCTGAGAACCTAACATGTCTTAATGTTTCTTGTATACACATTGCCATTGTTTTCTTAGGTTGGTTAGAACCTTGTACAGAAATGATCACTTTAGTAATTTAACAAACTCTAGCAATAAGACGTATATCAAATAGAAAATATATATATATATACTTTTAATAAATCATTACAAATAATAGAAAAAAAATCTTTTAAAACTTCTTTCAGTGATATTTTAACCACCAGTTGGAAGGATTCAATAAGAAGCAGTCAAAATTAACATAAGAACATAATAAAATTAATGGAGTCAGTGTCTTTAGTCTCTAGGATCCTTAGTTCTCATTTCTCAGTTTTGTAATTTAAAAAACGCTTTCCTACTATTCATGTGTTTATCCATTCATTAAATAATTTTAATGACTACTGTGTGCAAAGTTTTGTTCTAAGTATGATTTGAAAAATAAATCCAATGCTATGCTTGAAATTGATTTCAGCCTAAGTGGAGAAATATGTATAAACAAACATATAAATTAGAAAGTAATAAGTGATGGACATACAGACATATTCAGAACAACAAAGCCACCTGACAAAGACCACCTGGGAAAAGGCAGATTTATTCATGGCTGTCTCAGAGAAGCCCAAATACCAGAACCATGGGGCACATTTTTAAATAAGGGAAAGATATGTAAGGAAAGAAATTTAAGTAAAATTAAAATGAAGTGTTTTCATAAATTCAAAGCAGAGCTATGTAAAGGAGTTATCATCAGGTCAGTACTAAAAAGAAGACTAAGGGTCCTATTTTCTTGGAAACTATAATGTTAAGACAAATGTTCTATGTACAAAAATCCCTATTCTGAAATCTGCAAGTAGGCTGGATGTATGGCTACTTCCCTGTGTTAAAGTGACCCACATGGCTTAGGTCCTCCCTTCCAGAGTAGGATATCCCATTCTCACTGATTTAAAACAGCTAAATTCTTGGCAATTGTAATATTAGAGAATAAAGTTCTTAATCACGAAGTCCTTTTGCTGCTTAACAAAAGCAGTTTTTGCAGTTCGCAAGAGAAAGAACAGATTGTTGGGAAAGGTTTTGTGGCAGGAACATAGTGGGGAAAGGTCATAGAAAGCAGAGAAAAACTTAGATAGGCATTTTGATAATAATCTGAGTAATAGGGAGTCGAGACATCCTGGAAAGCTAAAATCCACAATTCTGTACTAATCATTCATGCTAAACATGAAGCCATCTTTTAAATCAAAACATACAGCAAACTGCAAATTGAGTGATTTGATTTTGCACCTTTTACCTTTTCCGCCAAGTATCTGGAGAAAATAGAAATAAGCCTTAATAGACTCCAAGAGAAAGAAGAAAATTGGAGCTTGGCAACCACTTAGTCCCTGAAAAATGAGGAATTTACAGAAAAAGGCGGCTTTAAGGCTGCAAGCTAACAAAAACGTCCTAAATATTACAAATAAATCACAGTGGCAAAATGCAGGCCTTAACAAAGTCTAGTAGAGTTTGTAGTCCAGTGATTTGAATCTCAATTGCAGAAAATTTACTATTCAACTAGATGTGGTAAACATCCACAAACTCACCACTAAGCCTGAATATTTATTGGCCAATTTAAAGAAAAGGTGATTTACTCACACCCATGGGCCTCAGCCTGAGCCATTATGAAACACTTTCCTACTTGCATTGCTGCTTTCTGCATTTTCTGCACAGTAAATGATTCTGATTTGCCGCAAAGGTTACCATTAGATAAAATAATCTTGGCTTTCAGATACCAGGCAATGTATGATAAAAGCTGTGGATTTTTAGATAATGTACATGTCAGACTTTCTACTACTTTCAGCATTTAAAAGAGCCGATAGGCCTTTTCTAATCTAAAACTGCATTACTAGATGGAGCAAAACTATTTGGCAGAACTAGTAGAGTGCTTGTCTATTATGGATATTCACTGGACATAATAAATCGTTTGCTTATGAGCTGGAAAGGGAGCATTAACCCAGCTTTCAAAAGTTTACTTTCAGAATAAAATACGTACACTAAGGAAACAAGTCAGTAAAGTTGGTGAAGGAATCCTATCAATAAGAATTCAACTTCTACCAGATAAGTTCTCAAAAATTTACTCCCATAAGTATCAGAACTTTAAATCCTGATGCTCCAAGCAAACATTTTCATGTTATTAATTTCAAAATAAATAACTCTCCAGCAGTGAGGCACTTCTTTCTTTAGCTTTGAGACTTGTAACAAAGATTGTTTTTTAATTATTTATGCCTATGGTTCAGATTAGTTTAATTATCCATCTTTTCATCATAGCATCAGCGATCACATGAAGACCCAGCAGCTCTGAAATTTAGCTTCTACGAAGTGATCTCAGCAGGGCCCCACGCACCCTCGGAGCTCAGAGCCTTGCAGAAGAGATGTTTGGTCCCAGGGTGGTATGCCAGCCACATCGAGAGATGGCTTGTTTATTTCCCCCCATGTCAGGTATGGAGTAATAAGGATTTACATCATATTTGAATCTCATTAAGTTGATGACTTTGCCTTAGGATAAGAAAATTTTCACTCACTAAACTATTACTCGTTTTTCCTCTTTAGTTGTAAATAATGAGGTTGCTGCAAGGAGAAATAGGCAGAAGTAGAAAAACTGTTTAATTTTCTACGAGTAATTCAGGATAATTCTCCCTGCTCTATTTGCTGTGCATACCTCTCCTGGTTGTAAAAAGCCGAAAGCTTTAGGTCCCTGATTCTTATTCTGAGAATAAAGTTTGAAAGAGAACTTCTTAACCAAATAAGACAAATATTGTGTTGCTTAATTAAGTGCCATTATTTCCCTTCTGAACCATCTTGCTGAATTTTTTATAAGTCCTGTGTTTTTCTCAGCCCCTTGAATTGCATCTGCCTGGGATCAACCTAGATTACAAAATCAGCCCCGCATGGGATTGTGTAAGCAATCCAGTCACATCGGACATGATACATACCTGTGAGTCTAGAACCATGCTGTCCAATATGACAGCCACTACCATGTATGGCTATTTCAATTTATATTAAAATCAAATAAAATGAAAAGTTCAGTTCCTCAGTTGCTGTTGCTACATTTTAAATGCTCCATAGCTACATGTTAGATCCAACATGTCCAAAGTTCTATTGAACAGTGCTAGTCTAGACTAAATAGAAATATCAGAGAAGAGGTATGGATAAACCAGACCCGCTTTGCAGGCTTTGTGGCCTTTAATCCTGGTCTCCTCTCATCTTGCAGGGTCCACCCTCCTCAGAGCAACAAGCGACTTCTTCTCCTTAGTTTCTTGAAGAACTTTGTCCATGTTCAGGTTTTCTGAGAGTCTAACTTCATTCTCCAAATGGATTATCAACATATTTCTTCAACCCTTACAGTGCCATTCCTGAAAGGAATTGTGAAGAATGACATGTTCTCTGTCATATTATATCTGAGTTCATTACGACCTTTCTCCTTTTCTACAGGACTCCGCAGCTTGAATGATGAATCATTGCTTTCTGTTTTGAAAGTTGGTTTCCCTTTGTGATTTTTTAGTCACATTTCTAAGCTCTCTTGGTCTCTCAACTGCCTTTTATGTTTTCATAGTGTTTGCAGGACTTCTCAGCTTGCAAACCATGAGTGTACTTAATTGGTATGATTTATTTCTTAATCCAGGTCATTAATGAGGATGAATGTTTACGTGTCTTTTTTCAATGTGCATTTTTTTTATTTCTCTGGTAATTTAGTTGCTAATTATTGATGGGCAACAACTAAGAACTGATCCTGCTACAGTGATGGATGATGTACAGAAGTTTCTAGGAGTCTCGCCTCATTACAATTACTCTGAAGCTTTAACGTAAGTTTATATTCTAATTCATTTATTGAAGTTTCAGCAAAGAACTGATTTCAAAGAAACTGCAGTTTGGTCATACAATTTTCAGGTTACCTGTTCCTCATATATTGGTTATTTTTCAATTTGACAGTAACTGCTTAAAAAAAATATTTCAACAGTGTGACAAAGAAGTGTCCTAAATCCTGTGTTGATTCCTAATTGTACAAAGATTTCCCTGGGAGGAAAGTAGAGAAATAAAACAGGTGTAAATCTTAAAACAAACCACTAATCTTAAAAGAAGTTACCTGAAATAAGTTCGTAAAGCCTGAGCCTATTTAACAGCAATATGGGGCCTCTTGGAAGTATGAACAGGTGAGTAACTAGGTAGTTTAGGAACTGATTCTTCTCTCATTTATGTAATTTTCAGAAACAATATCATGCAGCAGAAAATAGTCCATAGGCAATTGAATAAGCAGAGAGAGATGTACTATTATTGCTCCTAAACATACATCCTTTTTTTTTAATTTTTTTGCATCTTTGTCTTTATCCACTATTCATCTGACCCTGTCACCTCTCCTTCAGAGGCCTCAGCAGTTAAAGCACTGGTTTGATTTTTCTGTTCATTTGCATGGTTTTTTGCTGGTTTCCTCTGATTTTCCTAGGCAACTGACTCTATAAGGTCCATGACTGGGGGCCAGTAAGGCACTAGGATTTAAGAAGGCAGTCACTCTCAGAGGTGTACACATGCCTAAGACTTAGTGCCTTCTTATATTTGTGTCCTAGTTGCCTCTCTTACCTCACCCTAGGCTCTGGGCCTCACTTAGCATTTTTTTAAATTTATTTTTATTTTTTTTTTAGAGGGAGTCTTGCACTGTCACCTGGGCTGGAATGCAGTGGCACAATCTCGGCTCACTGCAATCTCCGCCTCCCAAGTTCAAGCAATTCTCCTGCCTCAGCCTCCCAAGTAGGTGGGATTACAGGCACCCACCACCATGCCTAATTTTTTTTTGTATTTTTAGTAGAGATGAGGTTTCACTGTGTTGGCTAGGCTGGTCTCAAACTCCTGACCTCATGATCCTCCCACCTTGGCCTCTCAAAGTGCTGGGATTGTAGACATGAGCCACCGCACCCAGCCCACTTAGCATTTTTGAAGAAGACCTCTATCTTTCTCTTTTTTAAATGGTTGGCAATCAGATTTAGGAGAATTATACTCGTTTCTACCCCACATGTGTAGGGCAACTGGAAGATAGTGAGTTGGATTGAGTTATGGACCTGACTCACACTATATTTTTTTTTTTTTTTTTTTTTTTTTTTTTTTAATTACCTTAGACTCACAGACTAAGCCTTAAAGAAACTGGAAAAGATGATTATGGTATTCTTCCATTTATTTTTCAGTATAAAATTCAGTTCCACAGATCAAGTAGTTTTCCCTTTTTTTAGTACTCTTTAATATCAATTTAGAAAGTGAGAGGTAGGTTTCCTTTACCTTTCATCAACCTTTGCAGAAAAAAAAAAATGAGATAAGTAGAAAAACATCAAATACTGCTTTTATGTTCTACAAACCAAATATCGAGTCATGTAAGGAGGCATTTTGGTTTAGAGGACAAAGGAGTAAGTAGAACTCTGCAGTTTTGAGCTTCCTTCCTAAGAGACATTTATGCTTTGCTGTTATTATTAACCTTCTGACCTCTGTGTTTTCTATACTATGAGTACTGTCAGAGTTTTGTGGCACTTAGTTCAAGTACTAACACAGACATTGGTCTTAGGTATTTAACATTCAGCTTGACCTTAAAGAAAGCTGAGTGATTGCAGTTTGCACTTAAAAATTCAAGACCATTTTCTGTCTTATATCTTTTTAAGTATCTGTTAGAAAAGAAAGCTTTTATTTTCTAAACAGTTTTCTATTTCAAGTTAGGTTATCTTTGGGTCTTTTTTATGGAGTTTGTAGCAAAGCACTGTATTTCAGAAAAAAAGAAGTACAGTATTCTATAAAGACAGAGTTGCTTTTTCTTATGGAACGGTCCTTGACCTGCATGCTGTGTATTTGTCCCCTCTGCAGCCAGCTCAGCAGCAAGCTTTTTATTCATCTCCACTGCTGAGAAAAGGCAGTGTGAACTTAAGAGAGTATCAAAGCAACTATATACAAAGAAGTGTGGGTCCATTTGCACCTGGGCTGTATCTAGCTAAAATTACCGATTATATGATTCTCTAACCTGGTGGGGTCTCAGTGGATGAAGTAGCAACATAAGATATGTGTAGTCCCTGAAACCAGAGTTTCTGGTGCAGCAGTGCTACCCAGGTTCTCACCCTATGGATAGAGATAATGTGCTTTCATTCAGTTTCTTTTCATATTTTTTTTCAGTCATCAGCTGGCCTGACACACCTTGTAAAACCCGGCAGTGCACTAGTTGCAGAATATTTGGAAGTTTCGTGTCATTGTCTTAGGTCTATATTGATTATCCTTCACCCTATGCCCTTTGCAGCTGTTTATCTGAAACCTGTCTTCACAATTTAGTTACTCCTGTTAGAGTAACTGTACTGATAGCTGTTTCTGTAGTGCTTTGGAAATATTGACAATGACCAGAGGTACAAAATATATATCCTCAGAAATGCCATTTATACCAGTTGGCAAAAGATCCTTTGTACACTTTGGTATTGCTCTTTAATTTCCTGCTGGTGATAATGAAGATTATTTTATTGGTGCTTAAAAAAAAATTCTCATTGGAAGTCCTCCAAGGATATAGTAAGCTGCAAACCAATATGAATTCTCATCTAACTACATAAATCTAGTGTTTTGCTCATAGACTAAATGAATAAAACAAGGTCTATACAAATGTTTTACTATGCAATCTTGGCATGAAGGAGTACTCCAACTTAAGAGATCTTTAAAGTTATTATCTTCCAGATAGCAAATTCCAGCATGAAAACTATTTTCAAGAGGAATCACAATAAGCCCCCATTGTCAAGATTGTTTATTCTTTCCCACAAGTGTTAAAGAAGGGGTTCAAGACTTCCAAAGACATACAAAAGTCACTGAAGAATCTGTGATGCCTTAAAATTACTTAGTACTGTCAACATGGGTGTTAAATGACATATTTAATGTTAAATAATCTGATTTTCTCAGTGATTGTGGGTGTGAATGAAATAAGCAAAATAAGCTTTAAAAATATAAATAATAAATTTATCATTCAATCAAATAAAGTATAATCTACAACTCTTGTTACACATACCCTTAATCCCTAAATGGGATTGATATATTAGTTTTTGTGTTATGTGTTATATAGTGTTTTGAAGCAATCATTTGAAATAAGACAGAAAAAAAGCTTAGCATGAAACTGTGCTAATTTGTATGCACTAAAATGAAAAAATATGAACTTTTAGCTTTGCCATTAATATATCTATTCAATTATACCTAGCCATCAATTCTAGGTATGATTTCTAAACAGATGTCTTCATGTTTAGAAATATTAATTAGCTAAATACCTGAACCTGGCATCTTTATGTCTCAGTTAGTTAACTTATTTGTCAAGATGAATGAAACCAGACTATGTTATATAAATTTTTAGTACTGATTTACTTTGAAACATCAATAAATGGGCAATGAGAATTTGAAAGCCAGGGGTTTAGTATAGCTGTTTGTTTTGTTGATAAAGCTTAGGCTAAGTCATGAAGGACTGAAGCCGCTTCAAGATTCAGAAGAACTTCAGTGGCTTTTAATATAATTTCCTTGGCAACCAAATTTATATTGCCCAGGAATTGTTTTCCTACCCACTATAGATAAATGTGAGTACCAATTACTATATTAAAACTTTCTTTTTAGCATATTATAGTAGCCATAGTAACTAAAATCTGTTGGTTCTCTGGATGTCATGAAAGAATACCTAGAAATGCTAAGTAGGGAAAAGAAAAAAAAAGTCTAATTTCTTATGATAAATTAAGTGATTTTAACAGTTCAAAATAAATATACATTAGCATGTTCTGTATATATACATATGTATCTCTTCACAAAAAATACTATGTGATAGGTAGAATTAGCTCACGTTTTGCAGATAAAAAAAACCAGGGCACAGGAAAGTTAAACCAAAAGTCACTCATCAAGTAAGTTGAGGAGGCAGGATTGAAATTCAATCAGTTATCTTGGGAACCTACACCACCAACCTGTTAATCTCTTCATATTGGCACGGGATGTTAGAACCACAGAAAAACAATACTGTGAATTTTTACTAGTGAATAGCATATTAACAGGAAGTACTTCCTTAAAAAAAAAAAGACCAGAACCTTTAAATGAACTATATAAGTTGTCTCAGACTTTATTATGAATAAAATCCATCTTCAGATGCACTGAATGTCACTTTTCTTCGTAAATATGTGATCATAAAGATATGCAAATTAAAATAACATTGAAATACCAGTACATACCCATTAGCATGGCTATAATCCAAAGACAATACCAATTTCTGTATTAGTCCCTTCTCACACTACTATGAAGAAACACCTGAGACTAGCTAATTTATAAAGGAAAGAGGTGTAGGCCGGGCAGGGTGGCCCACGCCTATAATCCCAGCATTTTGGGAGGCCGCGTTAGGTGGGTCACCTGAGGTAAGAAGTTTATGAAACTAGCCTGGCCAACATGGTGAAACCTCATCTCTACTAAAAACTCAAAAAATTAGCCAGCATGGTGGCAGGTGCCTGTAGTCCCAGCTACTTAGAAGGCTGAGGCAGGAGAATCACTTGAACTGGGAGGTGGAGGTTACAGTGAGCCAATATCACACCATTGCACTCTAGCCTGGGCAACAAGAGCAAAACTACGAAAAAAAAAAAATGGAAGCAGGAGGAAGGGAAGGAAGAAAGAGAGAAAGAGAGGGAGACGGGAAGAAAGGGAGAGAGGGAGACGGAAAGAAAGAGGAAAAGAGAGGGAGAGAGAAAGAGAGAAAGCAAGCAAGCAAGAAAGAAAAAGAGGTTTAATTGACTCACAGTTTCACATGGCTAGGGTGGCCTCGGGAAACTTAAAACCATGGCAGAAG